ACAATTTGACCAAAAAATGAATCAGAGAATCCATATTTTAAGTAGCAAGTTTAACTATATGGGTACCTAAGAAGGATAGTACTAAGAGACTAGTTGTGGACTATAGAAAGCTTAATACGCTTATTAAGAAGAATCGATATTCACTTTCATTAGCTATGGAATTAATAGATCGATTAGGCGGAGCTATAATATTTACCAAAATGGATCTAAAAAACGAATATCATTTAATTAGAATAAAGAAAGGTAAAGAATAGAAAACCACTTTTAAAACAAGATATGGGCTATATGAATATCAAGTTATACCATTCGGACTAATTAATACACCAGCTACTTTCATGAGACTTATAAATAATATACTATTATAATACTTAAACACCTATTATATATACTATTTGAATAATATCCTAATATATTCAAACAACAAGGCCTAATATATTAAAAATATTAATAACATTCTTAAAAGTTTAGCTAAAGCTAATTTACTATATAAACCAAGCAAATATAAATTCTATATTATAAAAACAGAATTCCTAGAATTTATTGTATTAAGTCAAGGGCTTAAGATAAGTAAAGATAAGATTAAAGTAGTATTTGAATAAAAGCAGTTAAATATTATTAAGAAAGTACAATTCTTTTTAGGATTTATTAACTTTTATTAAAGATTTATTAAGAGTTATTTAGGAATTACTATATTCTTAATTATATTAATCAGAAAAGATTAAGGAAGTTTCGAATGGACTGTCAAGGTGTAGAAGTCCTTCGAAATGTTTAAACAGGTAATGATCGAGGAGTTAATACTATTGATATTCAATTCTGAAAAGCAAATCATAATGGAAACAGATTCTTCAGATTTCGCTATAAATGTAGTATTGAGCTAATCAGGTTAGAATGAGAAATAACAATTAATTATATTCTATTCTTAAAAGCTATCATTAATCAAATTAAATTATAAGATTTATAATAAAGAATTGCTAACAATAGTTAATATATTTAAAGAATAGTGAGTATATTTGAAGAGAGCAAAATACATAATATAGATATATACAGATTATAAGAATTTGATTTACTTTATTATAATGAAATAATTAAACAAACAATAGATTAGATAATTGGAGATTATGATTAATTACAAATTCAAAATTTCATATATTAAAGGATTAGAAAACACTAAAGCTGATGTTTTTAATCGAAAATCAGAATATTAAGAAAATAAGTTGTACGAATCGTACGTTATATTCAAGAAAGAAGGCGAATCACTGGTTTACAATGTACTACAGCTTGTATTTATATATACATTGGAAGACAACCATTTCAGAATCAAAATCCAATCATATTACAACAAAGATGCCATAGCTATATATATACACGAGATAATAGAACTAGGATTTATAATAGAAAATAAGATTATATACTTTTATGGGAAAGTATATATTCTGAATCAAATAATCAAGGAATTTATAATAAAACAATATAAATTTTTAGTATACAAATATTAAGGAATTGTAAGAATATTTATAAGATTATAGAAAATCAATTACTTTTTATAAATAAAAACAATAGTTGAAGAAATTATTGGAAATTGTAATACCTATATACAAAATAAGTCCTTTAGATATACTTTATATAATTAGTTTTAAACCTTAAATATACCTTCTCAACCATAAAAGTTTATTATATAGAACTTTATAATTAAACTATTATTCTTAAAGAATTCTATTATAAAAATTGAATATAATATAATACTTAATATAATAAACAAATTAATAAAATTTATATATATAATATCATTTAAGGAAATATAAGATACTGAATAATTAGTATATATATTCCTTAGGATTATAATAAGTATATATGAAGTATTAGATGAGATAATCTTGGATTGAGATAAGCTTTTTACCTCGAAATTCTGGATTATCTTATTGATACTTATAGGTATTAAGAGAAAGCTATTAATATTTTTTCATTTACAAATAGATAATTAAACAAAGAGAATTAATTAGATAATGAAAGTATATCTTAAATGCTATGTAAATTATTGATAAGATAATTAGATAGAATTATTATTTATGGTATAATTTGTATATAATATATTAGAAACAGAAACCATAAAAATCATATCAACACGGGCTAATTTTGGGTTTAATCTATAAGCATATAAAATCCTGATATTACAAGAAGTTAATGTCGAATCAGCGATAGTATAAATCGAATAGCTAAAAGATCTTTAAGAGTAATTAACTCTTGATCTAAGATTTATATCTTTTAGAACAATAGTGTACTATAATACGAAATATAGTATGGAATTTACATTTAAAAAAGGGAATAAAGTTTATCTATTATAATGAAACATCGAAACTAAGAGACTAAGCAATAAACTCGATTATAAGAAACTAAGACCATTTAAGATTAATAAGGTAATAGGAATTGTTAATTATTAATTAAAACTATTAGATACAATAAATATCCACTTAGTATTCTATATATCCTTATTTGAATTAGTACTACTAGGAGTACTGAGAGCGTTATTAACAGAAATCGAATTAGTTAATCCGAACGCCATATATAATGTTGAAATAATATTAGATTATAAATGTGTTAAAGATATAATTAAATATTTAATTAAATGGTTAGATTATTTATACACTGAAAATTCATGGGAATCAAAAACAAATCTTAATTACCCTGAAAAATTGAAGACATTTTATTAATAATACCCGGATTTGCTTAGAAGGAAGGAGAATTTATTGAAGCCAGGATCAAAGGGTTTAAAAAAGAAAAATCGAAAACAAAGGAACTATTACTAGGACCAGCAATAGAGACAGATACCAATTCCTTTTCCTTTTCTATATACTCTTTTTCTAATAATTCATCCAGTTTATTTAATAAACAAACACTACAACGAAGCATTTCAGAACCCCAATCACAAAGTGTCTTCTATTTTTTACAAATTTCCATACAACAACAAAAAGCTTCCTATTCCACAAGAGTAATAGCTTCCTCTTCAGCCTTAAAACAAGCTTCCTTTTGAAATAGAATATTCTAATTAAAAGGAAAAAGATTAACAACATTACACTTTATAGAACCAAAGTGAACGTACTCTTTACAACGTTTAGATTTAGAAAGTATATGGTATTACAAATCATTCTTTTTATAACAAAAATAAGGCGCTATAATATTTCCTTTATCTTTAATTTTTTAGCTTAGACGATAACAATTAAGTGTTGAATAAAAATCATTAGTGATAGGTATAATGAAAGGAAATAAAGAATCATTATGATATAGCTATATAGGGAATACATAACTATATAACGCTTGGGATAAGCACTAAAATAAAAAGGGGGGACACATCCTCTCGACCCCACCCTGCTGCTCTTGGAAATAAACTGTTGCAATGGAGCACATGGGGAAGATTTTCTGGAAATCATACCTATAGATATCGCTCGGCTCAATACTTTAAGTATAGCTTTGATCTCTCGTTGCCTAGAAGTAATCCTACAACCAAGGTTTATAAGGTCCCTCTCCCAGCATTTGTAACTGGACTCCTGCTATCTGCAGAGTGCCTAGCAAAAAATCTACCAGCAAGCCCAAGTGTAAACGTTGTGACGAGTGCATTCTTAGCTACTTTGCCAATAGGAATAGGTGTGTTATTCTGGGAAGTGAGTCGAGATCCTATAGTGGTTAATAAGGAATAATTTAAAACAATAGGGAGGAAAAACTCTTATGTACGCATAAAGAAAGGCACAAATAAATCCGATAACAAAGACAACAAGAATGGTAGCAATAATACCGGCTACATTTCTTAAGCCTTTAGGATATGTACTACGGGAATCGAGAATAGGTATTCGTATTGGCGCCATTGTCGTTTACATAGCGGAGAGCAAGAAATCTTCGTGCAGGAGGTAAAGTCACTCTTCTATATGTGAGCTAGATGCAACTAGTAGCGAGCTACTCCGGGTAATGCATAAATATCTACTTGCGACCCGCCGTGGTAATGTAATACCATCCAATTGTGGATGCCATGACTCGGTGATTTAAGCGAGTGTGATTAAAGTGTTGAAGATAAATAGTAAAACCCCGAAATTAATATTTCAAGATATCCTCACTGTTTCTCTACTTTGATATCAGCATCCAAACATACACGTACAATGCTACCCGGGTTACTTCACCAAGTCTTCAGACCCAAAACAGCAATCAAAGCAGAAATACAACGAAAAGAGCGGGATGAACGACGTGAGAATCGAGCTCAAGAAAAGGAACGACAACAAACACGCGCCAGAGCCAATGCGAGAAAAAAGGAAATTCAGTTACGATGTGATAGAAATTATGCACCAGGAGGGCTATTCGAGAAGCTTAGAATAAGGCGAAAAAGGTTTGAGAATGGGATATGGAAGCATCCGGAAAGAGACTGGAAGCCGATCAAGTAGTCGTGTTAGACGATTGGATTTAAGGGCGCTGCATTCGCTATTTTATACACTGAATTTGTAGTGTTTTTCTGTTGATCCTTACGTACACTTATAATGGTAGCAAGTCTGACTTGGCACCTATTTCCCCTATATATATACAGATACCTAGGCACCCGTAGACAAGGCTCTTCACTTCACTCTTTCTGCCCAACTCCTCACATCCTCATTCTACACACGTTTTGCTCTCATTTGAGGCGTGGCATGAAGATTCTCCTGAAAAAGTCCTCGGCAGCAACCCACCACGATGGTGCGAAAATTCCACCAAAGCCAAGTGTCAACTTCACATTCGCCACGTATTCATCCTTGTCCGCTAAAGAGAGGTGGTTACTTATCTAAGCGAGGTGGTCACTTGTCTAAGTATGCGAAGGCAACTCTGACTAGAGCTAGTCTCCTCAGCGATAAGAATGTATTCCTTTCCAACTTTTCCGAGAGAATAAATTTTGAGTATCGATCATCTCACCTCAAGCTTTCCAAGTCATCCTTTGCAGTACCTCATTAGACCAAGATCGTCAACCATTCAACAGAAGAATCATCAAAATGTCCACAATCACTTGCAACGTTATCGACCGTCGTATTAGCAGCGCTGCTGCAGGTATGCGCGTTGTGCTCCGCTGTATTCATCCCAACGAGGGCAGAGAGTTCGAAGAAACTACCAGTCCAAATGGTGTCATCTCATGGTGGAAGTCGAGAGGTCACCCTGAAATAAGTCTTCTTCAATACTTATTCAATCACCAAGATCAAGAACAAATGTGCTGGCACATGCAGTTCTCTACAACCGACTACTTTGCTCCGATTATTCCTCACTATATCTCCGCCGATATTTCATTCGTTCTTTTTCGTGGGCATCAAATTCCGAGTGTTTCGCTCTATGCCGATATACGTGGCTTTGGAACTTGGGTTGAAACACTCATTGCTCCGCCACTTATGCTACCAGCTATACCAGTAGCTGTTCCATTGAAATCGACCAGCCGCAGAATAAAACTCAGCCTGTCGTCGCGTTCAGACCTCAACCCCGCCAATACTTCAAACTTTCGCCAAATCAGGAAAAGGTTTTAGCAAGTCATTACGTCGACGAGCCATATCCAAACAAAGAATGCTTTACCAAGTTGTCAGAGGGCCTTGATTTACATCCAGAACAGACTGAGAGATGGTTCGAAAGAAAACGAAGAGCTCAAAAGCAGCAGCAACAAAAGAGATGCTTATCACAAAGCGACACCACAACTTCACAAACAAGTGCTAAGAGCACTATTCAAAACCTTCAGAGTATTCAGGAAGAAATAGACTATGGAATCGCCAAAGTCATTCCCGAAAAAGACTTGACTTTCTCCCCACAAGCTCGACACCCTCCCTTGGCCATGGATGAGATGTTGTCGAGTACCGCTACAGACGAAGATGTGACTATTACCAGCCCGGTCCCCATACCTAGTTCTATAGACAGCGCGGAATAATTCCCGGATTATATACAAGGAGTACACTCTACTACCACGAACAGTCCGGATTTAGGGAACTATTCCGGCAAGGAAGTAGGAAGGGGGTCAGAGGGGGAAGAGGTAGTAGAAGTAAAGAAATGGTGGGTAGAGGAGGTGGTGAAGAGATTACAAGGTTACGAATATGCAATAAGGACTTTTACCAAGCTCGAAGATACAGTACTAACGTACTCCTTCTAACCGCCCGGATTTTACCCGAAATTCATCAACACTATTAATCAATTCAATCATTAATTATTAAATCAACCATTCAATATTTTACTTTAAAATTTGACCATCATTTTGATTTATATATATATATATAAATTAGATAAAAATCTTATTATAATATTATAACTTAATCTTCTAATATTTCATATACCAATCATTTGTTATAATATAAATCTCTATTCTGTTCCTCATACTTACTCTTAAATTTATAAATAAATTATTATCCAATATATCTCAGGCTATTTACAAAACACTGCCTAACTTCTACCTAAAATATTCCAACTTGTTTTTATTTATTACAATATTCAAAAACGTTTTGAAGATACATGCTTTTAGATATCATTAGATATACTCTATAGAATTAAGATCGAAACTATAAGAAGACTATAAATCAATTAAAGGAATACTCCTTTCCCGAAACCACTCTATTATCTTATAAGCACAATATATAGAAGCATTATTCTGTATAAATTGATACCCTTCATTTAATCCCTCTCAAATGAAAGCTAATTCCTCATTAAAGACCTCAAAATAATAGTTAGTACTATACTCGAACTTCTTACTCTCGAAATTCTTATCTATCTTATAGAGCTTACTCTTCCTAATATTACAAAAACCATTTCAGATTATAATCTTCATATTCTTATTTGTAAAATAGATTTGAATTATATTCTATTCTTATTTCTGATATAAAGTGCGGAAGGCTTATTCTTGATTTTTCTCTTTTTTCCTACTCTATAAAGTACTTATCTGATTAGTATCATGATGCAAGAGATAGATATTAGGTTAGATATATAATATTCTATAAGAAGGTTAAAGATAGTATTATATAAGTATATTATATATAAACAAAAATGATTAAGCATTTATTACATTAATGAATCTATAATAATGCTAATAAATCTGTAATAATATTCTTTTCTTTAAAATTTATTTATTCTAAGTAAGCTAAAATAAAATAATAAAATAAAAAAGAAAATACATTAAGTAAACCGTACTTTTCTTTATTATAATAAACATTTAGATTCTTTAGATCCTTTTATAACTTTTTATATAGAAATTAAAATTGTTTTAGTCTTTAGATTTTCTAAGATTTATTTCGATGGACCTAGCTTTTTTAAATGTAAATAATAATAATAATAAGTCATAATCTTTTCATTACCTTTAAGATCTGAGACTAATTACTAAGTTGAGGTATTGTTGATATCACCATGGGGATGATGAAGTCAATATAGTACTATGATTCACATTATTGTTATATTACTTAAGATTCTAAAAGCTAGGACTATAAAATGTATTACTGTAGTATCGGAAAATATTAATATTAATATTAGTATAATTATATAATCTCTATTCCAATATTAACAATTTTCTAAAATTACTGAATTATATTCTTCTAATTAATACCTTTTTTATCTATATAACCACCCATCCTTTTAATATTTTTCAACTTATTTTATAACCTTAATCTTTATAGTATTATTATTAATTAAATCTTTTAGGGCTTAATATAGTTTGAATTTAGTTATTATATCTATAGGGTTAAAATCTTCATTAATCTATTTAATCTTTATAATCTTTTGTTTTTTATATACCTCATGAATCATTATTATATTAATTATTAATCTCTTTTTATTAATAATTCCAAGTTTTATAAGATAGTTATAAAGTGATTTAAAATTGATGTATATAATTAATAGGATCTTACGGTTTAGGAAGATCTTATTAATTATACCTTTGATTATTATACTTATATTAAAACCTAAAACCATAATATAGAGTTCTAATGCTAGTACATTTCTAATAACTCTTTCATACTTGATAGATAATTAATAGATGATATTAGCTTTGTTATACTTATCCATTAAAACGATAATATATCTAATTTAAAAGAACAAATCTTTATTGTTAATAAAGAATATATTAGTGAATATAATTAGTTTTAAAGAATTTATATTGAGTGAAACAAATTATAGGCTTTTTTCCAAATTGTCAATTTGTTATTGAATATGCTTATTAAGAGAATTAGCATCTTCTCCCTTAAAATTGATAGTTTGTATAGTATAAGATAGGTTAAAAGCTACTTCTAGTTGATATATTATTATAATATATATTTCTCGAGTATGTTATGCAATGTATTAATTCTTTATTGTTATAGATTTTCTTAGTTTTTTATATATTCCTTATATATCAGATAATTCTGATTTAATTAGGTATAGATTTTTATATTGATTTTTCTAATTAAAGTAAATTATGCCGTTATCTTGTTAAATAATTAATTCATTATTAAACTTGAATAATATATTTGATATAAGTATCTCATATTTTTTTGTTATAAATTTAATATTATAGAGTTCTTTTTATTTATAATCTATAAATTTGTTATTAATAACAATAAATGTATCATCTATTTGTAATTTTATGATGCCAAATGCTATATTATCCTTGGTTATATGCAGGAAATATGAATTGTAAGTTAATTATATTATTTTAAGGACATTAATATAATACTTATAATAAATATTAAATTAATGGTTGTCTGTTTTCGGAATGTTATATAATAGTTGTACTATTTGTAGGACAAAATCTTCTAGGATGTTCATCTTCATTAATAATTATATATAGAACCTTCGAACTAAATTCAATGTTGACTATATATATATTTATATAATATTATAAATACTTATAATTACCTTGTTTTTTAAAAGTATAATTATTATTATTAATATTATTTATTAACTAACTTGTTATATTATAAATAACTATATCAAAATAATATCTTTTTCTTAATTCTTTTATATTTGTATTATTAATCGAGATTTTGGGAACGCCGTGTCAATTCCCTTATTTTTCATTTCGTTAATAAATTATAAATTGAATATTCTCGTATTTTCAAGTATATTTGTGATCTTTATAAACTGAAAGACACTGTTTTTCATTAAATTATTAATCTCCTTTTGTTTTAATTTAATGAAAATCGTTGATATTGGATTATTAATAGATATTATAAAACAATCTGTATATTCAATATCATTAAATTCATTATCATCTAGAAGGTAGAATACTAAATTCAATACTCATTCCTCAGATTCAATATAATTGATGTTTTTGTTTATAAAGAAGGTTGTTAATATAGGAATTATAATTTAAGGAGTTGATAGTTATAGAAGCTAAGGGTTTTTAAACAAATTCAAAAGAATCTCCTCCTTGTTTTTGCTTTATATAACAACCAATAAAATGATTAATTTAACTTTACTAACTTTTAATAAAATTATTCTTCTGTTCTTTTATGATATAATTTATATCATTTATACTGATTATACTTCTTATATATTTTCAATAGATTATTTAAATTATATTAATTTTGTTACTTATATTAATTCAATAGATTCTTTATAAGATTGATTTTAAGATTGATTCTTTTTTTCCATATATAATTTGATTTAGATAATACGAAATTCTATTGAGCCACTTATCAATTGTATAATGTATATCTCATCTTTTATTTCCAATAAATAATACGAATCTGTTTAGTCTTTATATTCTCTTTATATTTAAATCTTCGAATTGATAGATAGATTGTATAATACTATTATGAATAGTTTATTATATTAGTTTAATATATTTAATATCTATCTTGTTACTTGTAACTTATTGATTTTGTTTATTACCTTTTTAATTATAGTTTATTATTATAAGATTATAAATGCTAGTTAATTAAGGTTAATTATTTATAAATATATTTTAAATATTAAGAATATTAAAACTAATTTGTTTAATTTTATAGTATTGTTTACTATTTTAACAATCATTTATAATATTATTTCCTTAATTATAAAACTCCCTAGTTCATTAATAATGATATTATATACTTGTCTAATAACTATGTAATAATGTTTGATAATTCCAATTGATTAATAAACTTTAATTGGTATACTCTTTATCCTAATTAATATAATTACTGTATATTATACGAATTCCTTATTAATAAAGTTCTTTTTAATATTATATATAATATAATCTAAGGGATTAATATAAATATTTATTTAGTACTTTCAAAATATACTGAAAATATACTTTATAATAATATTGTTTAATTATTATACTATTTGAAATTGTATGCCTTTATTAATGATATATAGAATAAGGTTAATATTAATGTACATTATATTTATTATAATTGAATAATTCAAATTAATTTTATTTTATAAATTGAACTTAAATCAATCTAATAATTTTCTATACTTTTGATAGTATTAATAGAACTTAATAAGTTTATATAATATTGTTATAACCAGCTTATTAAAGTACTCATAAAAGTTTGTATATTAATAAATAGTTAAAGTAATAATATAAACATTATAATTTTATATTAATAAGATAGTATGCATTATTATTAATAATTTATTATATAAATTATTATATATTTATATATTATAAGAATATTATATATCTATTGTGGCGGATATATGAGAATCGTTCTCCTATATTACTTATAATAATCATATTAAGAATATTATTATAATATATACTAAGTTTATTTATATCTTTAAGAAATAATAAAAACAATATTTTCATATTTATAACATAAAATTTAATGGTTTCTAATGATAAATTTAATTATATTAAATTAATTGACTTAGCTTTACTAATTTTAAATACTATACTTATAATTCCTATTATTTTTATATTCAAAATAATATTCTTAATTATTATTTTATATACCACATATTATTTATAACTTATTATTG